TCAAACTTATGTTGTTTTTCTTTGAATCATATTGCAGCTGTTGAAATGTTGTTTTCTAATTCTTTGTTATTTTAAAAAGATCTTTCCTTTTCTGTTCACTAGCTGCAATCTTATCATTGAGGTCTGAAATTATACCTTCACTTTGTTGAGGCAGTTTTGAAAACTTTCAATCAAATTTTTGATATCCTGTATATCTCTTTGGATCTGCTTCATATATTCTGTTCATTTCTTATATTGTTCATCCAGGGATTCTATCTTTTTTTTGTTCCTCTAATTTTTTAACTGTCTTCTTTAGATGTGTTTCGCATCTCTTGTTACTTTTATCATTTGTTCTTTTACCTGGAAGATTATTTCTAGTTTGAATTCCTTTAAAGTTCCTGGCATTGCTTCTTTATTTCAGTTGCTATTATTTCATACATTTCAGGTGTATGCAATATATTTTCTTCTACGTACATGGCTCCTAGGCTTTCTTGGGATAACTTGAAGATTTGAGATTGCATCTTAGTCTTTTGTTTTGTCATTTCTGTATATTTCTGTGTTTCAAGTGTTGTTTCAAGGCTTCCCCTGGGCGTGTTGGAAATTGTCGGCTATGCCCTCAGCTCCTCGGACTGAATGGCAATTGCTGAGCATGGTCCAATCAGGCCAAAAGGACCTCCAGTGTTCCAGGAAGCTGAGTGGGCACTTAACCACTGTCGATGATTGTCCAAAGATCTCCCTGGGCTAGGACCAGTGCTCTGGAACTCACTTCATGTGCTCTCATCTCCCCTTATTGAAGAAGGTCGCTGAGTTTAATCTAGTCATGCCACAAAATCTCCCAAATTGAAGTCCAGTGTGGCTGGAATCTGGATGGGTCCTTGACCATTGGGAGTGATGATCTTCAACTCTCCTGGGGCTCAGGATGGTGTGCCAGAACTCATTTCCTCTGTCAGCCCAGTTCTCTGGATTGAAAGAATGTCCCTGGGCATGGCCCAAGCCTGGATTTAGTGTTTCTGTTTTAATATTTAGATCCTTGATCCATTTTGACTTTAGTTTAGTGTATGGTTGATAGGCATGGTTCTATTTTCTGTCTTTGGCATGTGGAAAGCCAATTTTTCCAATACCATTTATTAAAGAGGCTGTCTTTTTTTCCAGTGAACAAGTTAGCCCCTTTGTCAAATATAAGCTGGCTGAGTGTCTTTATAGTAGTGTTTGTATCTTCTACTCTGTTTCATTGATCCTCAGGTCTATTTCTTTGCAAGTACCATGCTGATTTTATTACTATGGCTTTATCATGTAGTATCAAGTCAGGAATTGAGATGCCTCCTATCTTGCCTTTGTTGCCCAGAATCACCTTTGCTATTCTAGGTTTCTTCTGTTTCCAAATGAATTTTAGGAGTGTTTTCTCTAGATCTGTAAGGTATGTTAATGGCATTTTGATTGGGATTGCATTGAATCTGTGTAGCATTTTTGGCAGTATGGCCATTTTCACAATGTTGGTTCTTCCTAATGAAGAGCAAGGAATATAATTCTATTTTCTAATACTCTCTTCAATCTCTTTTTTAAGAGTATTATAATTTTCAGCATATAGGTCTTTTACATTCTTGGTTAGATTGATTCCTAATTATTTCATTTTTAAAAATGCTATTGTGAAAGGTGATATTTCAGTAATTTCTTTCTCAGGGAGTTTTTGTTTCCAGGAATACTATTGATTTTTGAATGTTGACTTTGTATCCAGTTACAGTCCTGAATTTGTTTATTACCTCTGGTAGTCTTTTAATGGAGTTTTTGGGGTCTTCCATGTAAAGTATCATGTCATCTGCAAATAATGATAATTTAACTTCTTCTTTTCCTATTTTTGTTTCTTTTATTTCTCCTGCTTGTTTGATTGCTCTGACTAATATTTCCTGAAGCATATTGAATAGGAGTGGTGATAGTGGGCATCCTTGTCTTGTTCCTGATTTTAGAGTGAAGGCTTTCAGTTTTTGTCCATTTAGAATAATGTTGGCTGTTGGTTTGTCATAGATGGCCTGTATCAGATTGAGGTACATACTGTCTATTCCAAGTTTATCTAAGTTTTTTTATCATGAAAAGTTGTTGGACTTTATTGAAAGCTTTTTATGCATCTATTGAGATGATCATATGAGTTTTATTTTTGGCTCTGTTGTGGTGTATTGCATTTATTGATTTGCATATGGTGAACCATCCTTGCATTCTTGGAGTAAATTGCACTTCACTGTGGTGTACAATCTTCTTGATAATTTGCTGTATTCTATTTGCCAATATTTTATTGAAAATCTTTACATCAATATTCATTAGTGAGATTGGTCTATAGTTCTCCTTTTTGGTTGGGTCTTTCTCTGGTTTTGGTGTCAGAGTGGTACTTGCCTCCAAGAATGAGTTAGGGGGGACTTCTTTTCTTTCAGTTTCATTGGAGTTTAAGGAGTGTTGGCATTAAATCTCTAAATTTTTTGTAGAATTCAGCTGTGAATCCATCAGAACCTGGGCTTTTCTTTGTTGGTAAGTTTTTAATCAGAATTTTTTATTTCAGTAGCTGATACTGGGTTATTCAAATTTGTTAAATCTTCTTGATTGAGCTTTGGTAGTTCATATGTTCCTAGAAATCTGTCCATTTCCTCCATGCTTTCCACCCTATGTGAGTAGAGATTTTCAAAGTAGATGTTTATGATCTTTTGAATTTCCATGGGATCTATAGTAATTCTTTCTTTTCAGTCCTTATTGCATAGATTTGAATTTTTCTTTGACAAGGTTGGCCAGAGGTTTATTAATTTTGTTTATTCTCTCAAAAAAACCAGCTCTTTGATTAATTACTCCTTTGTACTGTTTTTTGTTTCAATTGCATTAATTTCTGCTCTAATCTTCACAATTTCCTCTTCTATGAGCTTTGGGTTTGATTTGCTCTTCCTTTTCTAGAAGCTGCAGATGTAGCATTAGGTTATTTACTTGTGCTAGTTCTGTTTTCCTGATGTGACTATTTATTGCATATATTTCCCTCTTAGGACTGCTTTCATTGCATGCCATACATTACTGTATGTTGTATCTGCATTTTCATTGTATTGTAGGTATTGCTCTATTTCTTCTTTAATTTCATCCGTAACCCACTGGTTGTTCATAAGGTTTTTATTCAATTTATATGTATTTATGCAGGTTTTGTAGGGTTTTTTGCCATTGATTTCCAGTTTTAGTGCTCTATGATCAGATATTATGCATGAAATAATTTTGCTCCCTTTGCATTTAGTTAAGAATGCTTTATAGGTTAATATATGGTGTATTTTGGAGAATGTCTCATGTGCAGCTGATTAGAATGTATATTCTGATGTACTTGGTGGGAACACTCTGTAGACATTCACTAAGTCCATTTGCTCACAGGTATGATTCAGTTCTGTTATTTCTTTGCTGATTTATTTTTCTAGTTGATCTATAACTTTGTGACAGTGGGGTGTTAAGGTCTCCTATTACAATTGTGTCCTTGTGTATTTGTTTTTTCATGTCTGTTAATATTTGTCTTACATAGTTGTATTCACCTTTATTTGGTGCATATATATATTAATAATTGTTAGTTCTTCCTCTTGTAGTTTTCTGCTTATAAGTATGTAGTGGCCTTCTTTATCTCTTTTAATGCTTTTAGGTTTTAAGTTCACATTGTCTGCAAACAGAATAGCTACCTGTGCTTTTTTTCTGGGTTCCTGTTGCATGGAATACTGTTTTCTATCCTTAAACTTTTAATCTATGTGTTTCTTTTTGTGTTAGATATGTTTCTTGAATACAGCATACTGTAGGATCCTATTTCTTGATCCATTCTGTCAACCTGTTTCTTTTAATAAGTGAATTGAGCCCATTTACATTTATGGATATCACTGGTATGTACTGACTTGACTTTTACATGTTCTGTTCCTGTTGTAGGTTTTTTGTTTTCCTCCCTTGTTTAATTTCTTGTCCAGACTGGTGGTTTCCTTCTGTTGTTGTTCTGGAAATTGTGGTCATTTTTTATCTCTGTCTAGTATGTCTTTCAATATTCTTTCTAGCGTTGGTTTTATAGACATGAGTTTCTTTAGTTGTTCTTTCTCATGGAAGTATCTTGTTTCTCCACTAAATTTGAAAGAGTTTTTCTGGGTACATTGTCTGGGTTGAAAGTTATTTTCTTTTATGTCTTGAAATACTTCACTCCAAGCTCATCTTAACCTGAAGACTTGTGCTGAGAAGTCTGCCATGATTCTAATAGGCTTTCCTTGAAAGATTAGTTGTGACTTTTCTCTAACAGCTTGTAGTATTCTGTTTTTATGCTGAATGTCTGTGTCCTTAATTATTATATGTCTGGGTGTAGATTTATGTTGGTTGTAACTGTCTGGCTGTATGCCTCACTTATTTCTATATCAGGTTTTTCCCCATGTATGGGAAATTTTCTGCTTTTATTTCTGTGAAAACTTGAAGCTATATCATTTATATAGACTCCTGCATCATCACTGATGCTTACTTGTCTTATATTGTTTCTCTTGGCATCATCTAGTAGCTGCTGGATTGTCATTTCATGCTGTTTTGTTGTTTTTATAAGTTCTCCCCTTTCATGACTGCTATCTGCGATCCTGTCCTCAAGGTCTGAAGTTCTATCCTCAGCTTCATTTAAATGGTTTTGCCAATTTCAATAGAATTTTTTGTTTCTTGAATATCTCTTTAAATTTGGTTTATGAATTCTGCTTGTTTTCTGTATTGTTCATTCAAAGTTTCAATTTCCCAAATTTCCATGTCAATAAATTTTGTTTCTTGAATACCTCTTTGAATTTGTTTCATGAATTCTGATTATTTTCTGCATTGTCCATTCAAAGTTTCAATCAATTTCCCATGTCCCTGTATTTTTAAAAAAATCTATTTCTTCTCTCACTATGTTGAATAACTCATTTACTAAGGTTGTTATTTCTGCCTTTACATAAGTTATTATTTCTAATTTAATTTGCTATATAGCCTCATGGATTTGTATTTTTTTACTTAATTTGCTATCTTTTCAGAGACTTCTGCCTCCCTGATCTGAACCCAGATGTTATCATTAGAGGAGCTTGTGATCTTGTTGCTGAGAATGGCTGAAGTTTACTTTAGGAGAGCTCTGATCCTCACTCTGAGCATCACTTATGGCTCCAGAGAGGAAGCTGTGTGCTGTTCAATCTCCAGCAGAAACTTGTCATGCTTGCTTCCTGACATGAAATTGGCTGTTTTCATCATTGGAGCTCAGAACCTCATTATCATTGTGGTACTTTTGGGGGCCCTGGTCTTTACTTTGAGCATTGCTTCTTTACACTACTCAACAACCCTCAGTCTTTTGACACAGATCCTTCATCCCAACAGTATAGACTGCTCACTGTTCTGTGAGCCTTTCCTCTGTGGATCTGTGAAATAGACTTGCATGAATCATTGGCATGCACTCTATGTTATCTAGTATCTGCACTCATGCAGGTTATTGCCATGAGATCCAGGCCCTTGGCAGGATTTTCTATGTCATTAGTGTTGTAAACTGATTGCCTGTAATTTCTTTGTATTTGGCTCCTTGGGCAACCATTACAAATAATACTCTAAATTACGTGCCCTGTATGTAATTGTTCTCCTAAACATTGACTACAATGTTATGTTAAAAGACATAAGGAAGACACAGGAAGGAATGTTTCCTCTCATAGGTGGAAGTGACAATCAATCTGAATGTAGAATAGTGATTTATTAGATATTGGAAAGCAGACCATATTTGAATAGTGCATTCTGTAGGCCAGTATTGAAATATCACACTGGAACACATTGATATGTACAATTAACACATGTTAATAAAAATTTAAAAATTAAAATCAACCAAAGAACAAATTGGCTAAAATTTAAGGGAAATGTCATATTTGGATGATTATTAAAGTGATTTTAAGAACTATGATTACTATATATTTCACTTAAATCATACTTATTGGTTTCACTCTTGTTTGAAAAGTGTGTGAGCTAGAGCAGAATATATTATAGTAACCCACTTTGATTTCCTGTTAACTTGATTTGAAGCCATGTATTGCTCTTCTCATCTTGTTTTGACTGATTTTACTCTATTCTGTTTTGCTTGATAGTATCAAGTTTGAGGGTATAGGCAACTACTTTGAAGACAATAAGATTCACTATGATGCCATTCTGGTTTGACTATTATCTTCTTGTGAAGTCCTGTAACGTCTTCAATGTTTTGGTTTTATTGGTTTTGTTCTGTACTGTTTTGTTCAATTTTATTATAAATGATGATATAGGCGATTCTTTTTAAGATAGCAAGAGACATTATGGTAACCATTGTTGATCACTTTGTATTCTGTTTTTATATAATGTACTATGTCCATCCTTTTGATTTGACTGACTCTGTTCTGTTATGTCACATTTGGTTTTATTCTCTTCAAAAAACAAGTAATAAGAACTGTTGGAGCAATAAAACCCAAAATGTGTTTTAAAAAAGAGTGGAAAAGAAAGTGCTCTAAAGGCTATAACTGCATGTATATTTAAGTGTATAAGATAGATAACCATATTACTGAGTTTTTGTTGGATCATTGAGCAGAAATGTTTGCAGCCTCACTGTTTGAATGTCCACTTTGTGTGCTTTAATTTTGTAACTTGAACAACTATTTCTAAGATGACAATATGTAATCTATTAACTAGTGATTTCCTAATGTATATTTTTTGAAATTCTGTATTACTTGTACCTTTTTTCTGTGTTTTTTTTCCTTAAATAAAATTAAAAAAATAAAGTGTGAACTAGGTATTTTACAATAAGTATTTATGATGTGTGAACTAGGTATTTTACAATAAGTATTTATGATATTATGTAATTATTGATTTTGTTAGGTACATAACTTCATGGGGTTATATAAAGAACAAAAGTTCATTTATCTGAAATAATTTGTAGACTGAAATGGAAAGACATAGATTATTTCATTTGAAATAGTTCAGAAACAAAAGGAAGGGAAATCTAAAAATATTTAATTAAAAGGACTAAATAAAGAATAGAAAGGTAACTATCAGAAAACAAACGCATTTTGGATAATGCTGATACAAATTATTAATTGCTATTGAAGCTATATGTACAAGGACAATTATTTTAGTTAAATTATTATGTTGGACATTATCCGTGATAAATTATAAAAAAAAAAAAACAGCCAACCAAACAACAATTTTCTCAAGCCTCAATTTCAGAAATCATGATTTAAATTTGGGTGTGGTGACACATGCCTACAATCTTAGCACTTGGGAGGCTGAGGCAAGAGGATCACTGCTATTTTGAGACCAGTGTGGGCTATAAAAGTGAGCTCAAGGCCAGCCTGAACTGCACAGTGAGACCCTGTTTCAGAAAGATTAAAAAAAATCATGATTTAATTGATCTGTAACAAAATCTAACTGAATTTCTAATACTTAAAATTGTTAATTTCTTTAATTTTTTTAAATCTTAAAAGAGATTTAAGGAAGACTTCACTAGATATTTTTAACTGATTTTTTTGCTTGAAATAACTTTAGATTCACTTACAGTTGTCAGAATAATGCAGGTATATTCTTTGTTCTTTACTCAGTTTTCTTTATTTGCATTATATTGCAAATGTACAGTATAGAATTACAGCCATTACATTTGTATTGATATCATCCATACACTTATTTCCATCACATTAGGATCACCCTTATTATAGTCCTTCACCATCATCCTCACGCTCAACATTTACAATCTCTAACATATTGTTAGTTTCTCTAGTGTTGCCATGTCAAGAATGTTATATAAGTGGAATAAGACATTGTTAATTTGGGGAGGATTAATGGTTTCATTAATCACTTGAACATTTATCCAGATGGATGAATTAAGCTTGGTTGTTTTCTTTTCTTTTTTTTTTTCAGCACTTGAAAATATTATGTACTTCTTTGTAGTCTTCATAATTTAATTTATTTAATTATTTTTCTTATACAAATTTAATTGTTTTTCTTCTACAAATAAATATTTATCTCTTCATGTTCTTTTTTCTCTACTGCAATAGTTCTCTTTGTCTCTTCAGCTTTCCATGATTTTATTTACCTCTCCAAGTTTTTGTTCATTTTTCAATAATGTGTAAAATACCTTCATGTCTCTTTCTTTTGGTTTATTCTATTTTAGATTTGGACAGGGTCATGAAACTAGAGGCTTATGTGTTTGGCTAAATTAAGAAAGTATACCTATAATTTTCTTGCATGTACTTTACTTGTATTGTTTTTCTTTCCCGGATCTCTGCTGCCAAAAATGAACCAAATTTGTCACACTTCCACAGGTCCTTGGACAGCTCTTCATTTAATGTAGTCTTTTTTTCTTTCTGTTGTTCAGATTGGATATTTTCTATTGCTGTATTCTAATTAGACATTACTATTCCTTGTTATTTTCATTTTATTTTTTAGTCTGCTCACTGACTTTTATATTTTGCTTGTTATATATGCTAAAGTCCTCAATTTTATCTTATTTATTTATTTTTTTGTTAAGACTCTACTGTGACTTGCTGAAATATGTCTGTAAATGTTCATCCAAGTATTTTTATCAGGGTTTTCATAAAATATGTGTTAGATAATTTCAACACCTTTGTATGCAATCAAGGTCTACATGTTATGAGGACTGCTGACAATGTTTACATCTCACTACTACTACTCCTTCCTCGTCCTTCTCACATCTGGACAACCCAATAAGGCTGAATGTTCCATATTTAGTGAGCTACAGGATATATGGGACTTTTCATCTTTATACTGCTTTTCAACCAACAAAAAAAGCCAATTTTTATCCTTTGCTCTTTCAAGCCATTTCCATGAGACTAACCTAGGGTCCCATGGAGCTTTATTAGGTAATCAACACTACTTTCCATATTTTCTTGTTATGTGCATGACATCATTAGTATTGATGTATTAAGTAGGTTTCCTTCACTATGCCAGGACACCTGAAATACTCAACTAATAAGACAAAAACATTTTGACACATAGTTTCAGAAGTTTCTGTCTGTGACCAATGTATTTGACTGCTTTGGGCCTAAGCATACTTAGGTAGAAGACTGTGGCTGAAAAGACCTGTTTCCCTCATGGCTATGGGGAAGTTTAAAGAGAGAGGAGGTGGAAGAGCCACTATTTCAATATCCATTTTGAGGATGTCCTCACTTCATTTCACTTCCTGCTTTCATCTCCACTTCCTCAAAACTCCACAACTTCCAGTACCACAGGCTGGGAACCAAGCCTTCCACATCTGAGCCTTCAGCAACATTTCTGATCCAGTCAATACGTGTGTCTGAAGTGAAATTTGAGTGGAAACTCATTCTATCCTTCTGCAGAGAAGTCATGATATGCCATTTGAATATGCAGAAAATTATCTGGGTGGCATTACCTTGACCAATTTCTGGCCAATATCATACTTTTGTTTCTCAAGAATAATTATAGAATGTGTAGAGAATACTGTCTCCTGAGATGAGAAAGGCCTGGCCAGCAGAGCCTACCTAGCAGTGGTGAGCCTATGACACTCATGACACAGTGGGCTTTTTGCACTGTATCACTAAAATGTTCTAAAATGCTCTAAAATATTCACAGCCACTGGTTGAGCTTTGTTTTTGGTTTCCCTAAAAAAGGATTGCTTTCAACACTTAAGACCAATGAGTCCACTAAATGCTAGTGTGTAAAACCTAGAGTAGGTGACCCTGAGACAGGCTTAGACCTGCTCTTGGCTTATCTATAGTTTCTATCTGACAATTCTGGCTCTTGTTATATTTTCTTATCATAAAAATATGTTTTTATATCTTGAAAGACTCTTTACATAGAACCCAGGACACTTCCATCCATAAAAGAGGAATGATGAGGATTTAAAATAATGGATTCACTAAGCCATTCTAGATTGAGAAGAAAAGAAAAGAAAAAAGAAAAGAAAAGAAGAGAAAAGGAAAGGAAAGAAAAGAAAAGAAGAAAAAAGAAAAGAAAAGAAAAGAAAAGAAAAGAAAAGAAAAGAAAAGAAAAGCATAAGAAACCTAGAGTGGGCTGCCCTGTAGGGTCCCATGGCTATGGTTTAAGGATATGATGCACAGTTGACACTTTGATCCACCCACTCAACCTCACCTAACCATTAAGGACTGGCTTATCAGAATTCCTATTGTTCCTTGTTGCCTATTTTTTGCTGCAGTAAATCTACTTCATTTAACTTTTCATATGTGTGATAGTGTTGTCTCCCTGAGTCATAAAAAATTAGAAATTGCAACCCAAGATAGAGTGGGCTGAAGTGGAAATCAGTGTGCAATGAAAGTGCTTCATAACATGCATTTTCTTTTTCAACTCAGGTTGAGGTCTCTTCGTTCTTTATGAAGGGCTATTTTTGATTTTAAAGTGGACATTTTAAATACTGTGGTATGAAACACTGCTGTTAAAAATTGAAGAAATTTAAAATGCAATAAAAATTAACACTAAATTCCCAAAATAAATGGAATGTCATCCACATAGTTTCAGGGAGATGGTTCTGACCTACACATTGTATACTATGAAAATAAAAACCTGTGACCACTTTGTCAAAGAGGCTTATGGAAGACAGAGATGTGGAAAGGATATTTGAGGAAGAAGGTTTTAAGCATGCTCATATTGGAGGGTATGTGGTAGGCAAATTAAATAATATTATGGCATCTTATGTGATTTGCACAGAAAGTCGATTTGCCTTTTCTATTTGAAAAACTGGATAAAGTAGGAAGGGAAGTTGGTAGTTTTTCTCAAGTTGTTTTCATTAGGGGCCAGCTCTTCAGGAATTGTGTTTTTGTCTTTTATTCTGACTGTTGAAGGAGTTGCACAGAATTCTGTGGTCATTTATGGTTTGCCATTGTCTTTTTCATTGTTAATCACTAAAATATTATTTAATTTAAAATACCCCAAACTAATATATTATGCAAATTTAATTCCTTGTATTTCCTTAAAAAAACTTGAACTTACACTTTATCTGAAATGTATTCAAAATAAGGAATTTAAAAAAGATAAACTGTAATGTAATGGGAAAGACAGTGCAATTGAAAAGTTATAAAATTGTCCTAATAATTGTAATTAATGTTGAAAATATTACATACTGTGAGTTGTTAATATTTTTGCCTAAAATGTCATATTTTATGAACATAATTCATGCAGTATTGAAGGAACAGAACTCATCATTAGAGTAAATAAATTCTTTTACATAAGAGGAGCTAAAATATATTTGATCACTCTCAGTGGTGATAATTAGATTAATAGTTTACCATTACCAATTTTAAATTATATTATCATACATGTATTAAAAACTTGATATAACAATTTAATTCACTAAAGAAAAATCAAAAGCAAGAATGACTGTGGTATTTCTTACTTAAGGTATTTCTTACTTAAGGATGATTTTTATTATAGGTTTATTTTAGATATCTATTATTCAATTTGTAAATATTCCTATTTCCATTTTGAAAAGTTTTATTAAACTAGATACTTAAATAATATAAAAAATTTCTAGCATCTGGCTAGATAAAAATGTAATTTCCATTTTCATTCTTCCTCTTTTCCCTTCCACTAATAAATATTTATTTTAAGCTATCATTGCTAAGACAAATTCTATTTATGTAAACGGTGCTATTTAATTGATTTGATGATAGTTTCTGTTTGATAAAATATATTTAGCAAAATATACGTTTATTTCCATGATTTTTTACTTTTCTCTACAAAATGTAGCTGTCATGATTTATAAATAAAATATTCCCGAACATGCCTTAGCTCTTAAGGAGGTGTTTTGGGAGTGGTTGCATTTTGGGTGTGGTACCCAGGGGATTAGTCCAGAGAAGGATTTATACTGAATATAGTGTTCAGAAGTGAAATCTCTTTAGACTTATGCATCACTAGGTTTGTGGACCACAAGAGTTTATCTCTCCCTGCTTATCCCTTCATCCTTTTTCTCTTTCCTGTCTGTATTGCCATGAGTGGTTTCTCCTCTGCCCAGACCCTCTCCTGAGCTGCCTGGCTTTAAAGCCATCCAATTATGGACGTAAGCCTCTACAAAGTGTGAGACATAATAACCTTTCCTTCTCAAGTTTGATGATGTAAAATATTCTTTCCCAACAAAGAATAAAGTAACTAAGACATTAATGTTTTCTGTTCATATATAGTGAAAATTGATCAGACAAATAGAAGAATATACAAAGCCTCACCTGTTTCTTTTGTCTTTTATCTTGACAACAGATTTACGATCTTCATTTAGATATTTCTATGATGTACATAATCTGTTTAAATTTAGGGAAAATGTAGAGAAATTTAAAATTATGAAATTCTGTAAAGTTAAGAATATTGTATTAAAGACAAAGAACTTGCCTTATGTTTCTAAATTTCCTGCTGACCCCAACACTTAGCATAGTACATATTGCTCAGTTTTTAGTTATATCAAGACTCAGTTAATCACCAAATGTGTTTAAAGTATATGAAATAAACATCTATATTTGTCTATAATAACTCAAAGGGTAAAATGAAATAATTTGATATTTTATTGAAAAAGAAAAAGAGAAAAAATTATTTTCACCAAGTTCTGGAATTAACTAGACCATCTAAATGTAACAACAGGAAACAAATTACCTGCCAAGGAAACCACAGCAATGAATAATCTATCTGGTCCTGCCTGCATTTCTGAGGCTCATTTCCCAACGGCTGTTACTGGAAAATCTTTTAATGAATCCCTTTTGTGGAATTGTAAGGTGAAAAGACAACTTAGATCATGATGAAAATGAATCACAAGCATATTAGAAGTGGAAGTAATGGAAGAAATTAAGTGTTACAAGTGAGCAATTATATCTTCAAATTTATATAAATGTCAAATAATTTTATTAAGTAGTGAATAACATGTTTTAAATACTTATAATATTTATTTAAACTATTGATGGGGCTGATCTGTTAGAAAACCTAGAATCAGAATAAAGACTTCCATTTTATCATTTTTATTCATGAGAAAATCTAAGAATTATTTTAAAGAGTTCATATATAATGAATGTATTCTGTATAATGTATGGTATATAATATATGCATATATGTATCATAACTTTTAGGAGATAATATCTAAACCCAATATTTAATATAATGGTTTTTAAACATGATGCTGTATTTTAAAAATTATTAATTAACAAAGAATTTAGTGTATCTTACTAAATTTAGGAAAATATATGCAAATCATGTGTATTTTAGATATCTTCTGTTATTTGGCTAGATTGGTTAGAATATGAGCATAATGTGATAAATTTAGTTTCTACGTTGTTGTCTGAATTTTCCAAGTTATTTATCATTTATCATCCCTGTAATATGTAATTATTCTTCAAAGATATACTAGTATTCAAATAGAAGATTGTGAAATTGAATTAGAGTAATTCTAATCTATCACAAAAAAAAGCAAATGTTCATGGTTGATGGCTAATTGTCACATAATCTTTTCCATGTTCTGTGTTACGCATTCACAATTTTATGCAGTGATGTCTGTTATATTGTTGACTGGATACTTTTCTGGAGGAAAGAACCAAGAAAATCATATCTTGTATTTGTTTTAACAGGACAAAAATGTTAAGAAAATTGATTACTTTTTGATTTGAATGCTTGAGAAATTAAACTATTTTTGATTCTACCTAAAGTGAAATTATGCAACATTGTCTTTTTGTTCTTAGATTATTACCCTTAATGTAAAATCCTCAAAATTTACCTATTTAATTTAAAAAACAAACCCCCTCCCTTTTAAAAGCTAAATGACATTCAGTTGTTCATGTACAATACATTTTCTCCATTTATTTAATCAGTATTTGAAGGATTTATAGGCAGTTTTCTTATTTCCATATTGGCCTCTGTGGGTAAGCAGATATTTCAAGTTGGCAAGTCAGGGAAGGGAGATGTTAGTAAAAGAGTAAGAAGCTTTAAACATCCTAAAAATCTTCCCTCACTTATATCATACACTAGCTCTGTCCCTGGGTGAGTGCAGCACTCACACTTCCCATTCTGGCACTAGATTGAGTCACCTCCATGACTGCATGAGGCTTGGGTGTCCCCCTAGAAACAAACCATAACAACCAATGTACCAAATCCTATGGCAATATCTTCACATGTGTTTCTGAAGTTTGGTGAAGTAATCTAATTTTTAGTTAATGGAATAACCTTACAGTGGTTAAATATGTTGCTTTTATATGTTTATCAAAAATGTTTTGTTACAAAACATCCACTTCAGCAAGTACCTTTAAAAAATAAACATTAATAACAGTTAGGTTGCTACAACTGCAATTTAGTGAAAACAGATGTTCACTGCATATCATTTAAAATCCAGTACTAAAAGAACTTAGATAATATATTATAGTAAATTCAGTAATTGGTTATGTTCTGCACAGTATATGGAGTAGGAATTTACAGACTTTGACCTAGAAAATCAGTTTTTTTTATTTAAAGAAAAAAACAAAACTAAACGAAGCAAGACAGTAAAAGGCTAGAAGCAACACAGAATTTCAAGAGAAAAAACATACAGTAAGAGTTCACCAGTTGATAGATCACACACTGTCATCTTACAAACAGCTGTCCAGATTACAAAATTAAAGCATACAAAGTGGAGATTAATACAGTGATATTGCAGTCAGTTCTGTTCAATGATCCAAGAAAAACTCAGCAATATGGTTCTCTATCCTACACATTTAAATAAACTTGCATTTATATCCTTTAGAACACTTTCCTTCCTCTCTTTTTTACACTAACAATCGCACATTTTAGTTTCCATTACTTCCACAGTTTTTTTTTAACTTTTTCTTTGAAGAGGAAAAGAAAAAAGATTTGAAAAAAGAGCCAAAAAACAAAAAACAAAACAAAACAGACCAAAGAAAAACCCAATGTGACAAAGCAAAACAGAGTCATTTAGATCAGGAGGATGGACATTGCATAAAATGAAAAAAAAAGGGGGGGAGATTACTAGGTGATCAACAATGGTTACCATTATGCCTCTTGTTATCCTAAAAAGAGTAGCCTATATCAGCTAGTATAAAAGAATTGAACAAAATTGTACATAAGACCAATAAAACCACATTGGAGCGCTTACAGGATTCCAAAGAAGATAACAGTCAAATAATAACGGGCATCATAGAATATCTGGTTGCCTTCCAAATGGTTGCCTATCCCCTCAAACTTGATACTATTAAGCAAAACAGAATATAATAAAATCAGTCAGAACAAGATATGGAGAACACTACAGGGGTTCAAATCAGGTTAATAGGGAAACAAAAAAATTACTATAATCTATCGCACTATTTTTAATTTAGTTTTCCCTTAGTTAAAAGATACTAAAAAATAAATTAATTTTTTAAAAAAAGGAAAGAAAAAAGGGGGAAGACTGAGATAAAAAAAGAACATATCAATATAACAACACCGGTCAGAATCGAAAAATATAACCATCATTGTGTTTCACCCCCAGATAGCTTGACATTAATAGTAGTTACCATAGTGACTCTTTCCTTGAAATATTGGAGTCTAACTTCGTATACTATAGCATCAAATTTATCAAGACAGTGTGGGACCATTCAAGAAAATGAAATTATTGCAGGGTATTTAGAACCAGCTAGCAGAAACCAAACATCAATTTCTATATTATCTCTTTGTCTATAAAAACCTTGCTTATACTATCACATATATTAAGATACAATAAGGATGCATCATGTGTGAAAGAGTAGTATACTAGGATCCAGAAGAGTTTTGCTTAAAATTTCAGAACTGATTCTGGAGAGATTTGACTTTTTGACTATGGGAAAGTCTTGCACTATAGTTGATTTGTAGTATTTGTATTAGTAAAATGAAAAGATTAGGTTAGTGAATGTTTAAGTCAGCTATTACTTTTAACAGATGATGAAAAATACTTTTAAAAATCCTGTAACATTTCATTT